GTTTTTATATTTTCTGAGAATCTCATTACTGCTCTCAAACTATGCTCTATATCTTAGTATAATTTTAAAAAATGAGTCAGCACAAGCACCTCAAAAAACTAGCAGTGCGTGGAATATGGAGCTATTTCTCTTCATGACAGAAATGTGCAAAAATAAAGAAAAAGGGTTATTCAGAGTGCCAAAGATAATGGAAGAATAAATGGAGAGTGAACGCTGCAGCAGACTTCGCATGCTAGCTTCCCAAAGTAGGCAGTTTAAAGGTGAATGATCTTTATCAATCAATGCAGGCAGTTTTCAACTGAATAGTATATAATTCATGGGAAAATGGACATCATGATTATGAACAAACCCAAAGAAGAAAATATCCTGGGTGGCACCTGTGGCTCAAAGGAATAGAGTGTCGGCCCCATATATTGGAGGTGGTGGGTTCAAACCCAGCCCAGGCCAAAAAATAACTGGAAAAAAAAAAGAAAGAAAGAAAATATCCTGCATATGACAAATTACAACTTCTCCTTTCTTGACTACTGGAGTGGGGAGGAGGTTAAGATACTCCAAGTATTAACTTCACTTGCAAATTACATTTGCTACTGCAAATTTGTAATTTTACAAAATACATTTGCTACTGCATGCTTTTAATAATGTAATCCAAAAGAAAATTTAGAAAAAGTGAACTGCCCCTAAGCTCCAAACACATCTGAATGCCAGTTTAGTTGGGAGTTGGTTTAGATATGACACTTCTTAGAACATTGGTTCCCAACCTTCCTAATGCCATGGCCTTTTAATACAGTTCCTGTGGGTCTCGAGGTTGAGAACCGCTGTCTTAGAATAAAGCTAAAGGCCAGGAAAAGACTACTTGCTTTAATCACTGAAACAATACTATACCTATTTCCCAAGGCTCCACTCATTCTCCAACATGCATATTAAAAGGGACCTACCACTTAAAAATAACCCAGGAGGGTCAAGGAAGGATACTTAAGACTGAAGGGGAGTCCTCCAGAGCTATACTATCATACCCTACATCTTTCCTTTTTATTATTTAACACATCCATGACCTTGTGTATGGCTTTGAGGTGAGTTTGGGAAAAAACTGCTACAGCCACTGTTTAGTATGTGGGATTCTTTATCATATAATCTAAGGGCAGCTCCTCTTGAAAGCTCTGACTTTCGGGCTCTATATAACATGTTTCAATTCAGTGCTGGATATTTTCCAGGTACCTGGGAGGAAACAGATAGCAGCAGCCCCATTATTCTGTTAATTGTACTTTTGTTGTTGTTATTTTAAGACTCCTTCCAAGGCTGTTAGACCTTGAAGAGAGTGGGGGAAAGAGTTAAGAACGTCCTGCCTTCCCCATTGGGCATTCAGGCTTTGCTCAACAAAGCTGTTATGAAGCCATACAATGGGTCTCTAAGGCAAACCACATGGCATCTGATTTTTGGCTTTATTATGTTTAAAAGAAAAATATGACACTACAAGAAGGCTTACATGAGGACCTAATTTTGAAAATACAAACAGGAAGCGCCCCCGCCCCAATATTACCATTTAAAAAAAAAAGGAAACCAAACCTCAAAGCTACCTTCCAAGGAAGTCATGGGTGTGACCAAAACTAACAAAAGTAATAAAACATCATCTAAAACCCCGAAACCACCAAAAGTGAGGGTCTCATTCAACCAACTAAAGATCTAACGCCTATAAAGTACTCCTCTTTTTGACTAGAAGAAACAGCATAGATTTAGATATGTAAAACCTGCACACGGGCTTAGGTTTTTCAGTAGTAAAGGATCAATGTCAACATTAATTATAGTGGCCTTGAAGGTTTTTTTTTCTTTTTAACTTTGAACAAGGCCACTATAATTAAGAGTGAATACAATTTTTAAAAAGTGTTATCACTATGATGCTTGCAATTTAAATGTACAAAAACTGTCAGAACAATGGAAACTAGATCGTTAAATCTTGACTTTCTTATTCCCAGAAATAAGCATAAAACTGTTCTGTTTCCAACATTGCAGGGGAAAAAAATACTTCTGGTTTTAGAACAGTTCTATTCACAAAGCTCAGATTAAAAATTGTTTTTCCTTTAAACATCACACATTTGGGGACACTGATACTTTAGAGCCAACTTTTAACCATTAAGTTCCCCAGTCAAAACATTTTGATACTTTATTATATAGTAAATAGATAATCTTCAGAAGATATCAGTAACCTGAAATTGTCTGATAACTTTTTATAATGATTCAGATGTTTAAAAAAAATCGTAACAATTGGGGGGGGTTTCCTTTGATAGGAATAATGTAGTCATCTATACTCTAATAGAAAGGGAAAACATGTCATTGATAGAATATCCAGAAATCTGTGGATAACATTATGAGATACACACATGTTTGTAGGGCACTAGAACGGTTGAGGAGAGTTAGAATTCCTTTGATTCCACAGTCAACCTTCCCCTAATCGTAAGCATGTTACTCACCACTGAGAACATCTTCCTTTTAACAACAAGATAAGACCACCTGTAGCACTCGCTTACACTAACAAGCCAAACAAACCACAATAACATACTCATAAATATAAGCTCAACGCAAATGACAAGATAATTTGATACTAACAGTAATACAATTTGAAAAAAGTGGACATTAAATACCCCCCAAAGCAAGAAATGATACCTTTAGTCTTGACGTGGCTTTTGCATATGTAAATAAAATAAAAACAAAATCAGCCGAGAGGAAGAAAATGGAGATGAACTGAAAAGTCAGAGCAAGATAGGAAGTATTGACCAAAATATTTATGTTGTAATACTCTGAACAATGATAGCACAGTTTTCTCCTACTATCAGACACACCATGAAGAAACATAGAAGTAACACATCTACCTTAAGTTTCTTAACACAACCCATATATATATATATATATATATATGGCAAAAATATGACACCAAAAAGACTGAAGACTAGTGAGGTGAGCTACTTTATAAAATTGGATATACAGCAAAGATTTTGTGCATAGTTTAGCTCCAAGTTATGCAATAACCAAAGCGCTGGTGATAGAAATCAACTCCTTTTTTTTCCCCTGATGGTTTGCCTAAAAAACAAAAACAAAAATTCTCCATTCTGTCTCTGTGTCTCAACCTGGTGCTTGAAACTTTCAACTTTCAGAGGCTACAGAAAACAAGTCATCTACTAGATAACACTCACCTGACCAAAGGTGTGGTGTTGTTCTAATTATGTATGACAGAAATACAAATTGCCACATAGTAAATTGTTCTTCAAATCAGCAGCCCCTTTCCTCCCCTCTTTAGCTCTTATCCATTCTGTGATCTTTCATGAGGTGGAAACTGGTGCCCAAATGGACAAAACACCTGAAGCCTTCAAATAAAAACTCTCAATCGGTTCTCCTTATTTGAAATGATCAGAAACAATTCAATGTTCATGGTGTTACAAAATGAAATTAGAAAAACTAAATAAAGTATATCCTCTTCTAGGAACTAACGACAATAACTATGAAACAATATAATACAAACCAATGAACAACCATAGAATACGGGGAAAGAGACAAAGTTCTATTATTTTAATTGAATGACAATAAAATTACTAAAAATAATGTAGGCTCAACAGCTGAAAGCTTATTATGGCCCAGTTGGCTATCCAATCACTTTGGAAATCTAAGATACAAGCAAACAATAAACACCACTTGAAGACCGAAAAAATGACATATGCCCCGTGTAATACCTGATGACATAGGAGCCCTTTCAAGGGGCATTCCCCAAGGATGTTCCAGAGAAAAGCTGTGGAATCATAATTAGGCAAAGATCAATATACTTTAATGTACTTTTGGAAGAGCACCGATCTGAGAGACCCTAAAATTTCAGTCCCTGAACTATTAAACAAGCCCTGCGAACTGAGCAGGCTACTTAATCCACCTATCTGGGCCTCAGTTTCCTCATTTGCACAATAAAAGAATGTAGCATAATTGCTGGGGTCCTTTTCAGCTCTAACATACTATGACCCACTTTTGTCACTATTTATCCACTGTAAAGTATAACAGGATCACAGGGGACAAGAAAAAGAAGTAGGCATGGCTTTCTGGGAAAGAGAATCAGTATCTCTTACTGTGGTTTTGATTAATTCCACCTTTCTAAAAGCTGGCACTTGTTCTCTCCTGTGCCTTTTCCACCACTGCTGGCTACAGGTGTTTGCAAACGCCTCTTGCTCCATGCAAGTTCTGTCCTCTTTAATCGTCCTGACCATCTTGCCAGATTCTTTTAGCCTCAGACCAACTCTGTGATACAAGGATTCCCGTTCGACTCTCCATATCTACTCATGACACCACGAACACTTTTTTACTCTTTACCCCTGGCTTTAAAAAAACAAAACAAAACATCGCATCCCACTGGCACACGTAAAGCCCAGGCCTGGCGAGTCCTGATGTGGGATCCCGCCTCCCGAAGCTTTTTCAAAATGTTCGTATTTGTGGTCTTGAATCCTTATAAGGCACTGTTTCATTAAGCTTTGCTGCTGCCCCCCACTGCACTGGGCACCCCCAGGGTCGTCTCATCCTCGGGAGGAGCAAGCACCTCTTTTTTAAAAAAGAAAGAAAAGCAAAGAGACTGCAGGGACTATTCAGAATTGCAACGTGAAGGTGGAAGGTGGCAGACAGCAGCCTCCTGCGCTCTTAGGGGTTCGGCGCGTGGGGTCCCCACACACCCACCCAGACACACATGCACGCAGTCTCTATCTGCACATCCTCCACCCGCCGCAGCGTCCGCCTGATCCCCCTCGCGTGCCCCAACACCGTACCAGCCTCCTCCGCAGCGCGCCCCAACTCCCCTCTGCCCCAAACACCCCTCACTCAGCGCGCAGCCACCGTGGCCGCCTCGCCGCCGGAGGAACGATGGCGGCGGCGCGGCCCTGCCGGGCGTCTCGGCGGCTGGAGCCCGGGGCCCCGCCCGGACTGGCTCCCCGGCCTCGCTCCCCCAGCCCCGGGCCCAGGGCTCGCCCCGCGGCTCCTACCTCTCTCAGCCCCTCGGGCGCCAGCGGCTGCTCCGGCCCCGTTCTCTCGCTCGCCCTCCCGCTCGCTCCCTCCCTGGGCCGGGCCGCCGCGCGTAGTCGCCTGCGCTCGGTGCCCGCCCGGGGTGACGGCTCCGGCAGCCGACTCTCCTCCCGCCGGGGGCCCACGGGGGCGCGCGCGCCGCTCGCGCGCGGAGGCCCGGGGGCGCGCGGCGCCCCAAGCTCGCCCAACGCGGGCGCGCGCCGCTTCCTGGTTCAGTCCGGCGCGCTGTAGCGAGCCCCGTGGTCCCTCGCGCCCCTTGCGCGCCCGCCGTGGAGTGATCCGGAACCCCCACGGGGTACGCCGGGTGGCGGCGCGTTCAGCGGAGCCCGAGCTGCGCGCACCTTCGTTCCGCGGAGGTGGGAAGGCTTCCTGGTTCGCCTCCCCAGCCGGGCCCCCCGGGCGGCAGGCGCATGCTGCTTTGTTTGGGTAGGGTCGACCACCACTAGCTGGGCCCGGTCGTGGTGATTGGCCCTGCTCCACGGTCCGCCCACCTCCCTCCCCCGGGACCGAGACCCGCAGTCCAAGTCCTCTCCCTCCTAGGCCGAGGTCAGAAGTCCACAGCAGCCCAGATCAATAATTATCCCGGGTCTGCACCCGGGAGATCGTCTCCGGCAGGGCTCCTGCCGCTTACTACCCTGACGGACCGATGGACAGGCAGGCGAGCGGGCGGAAAGCCTGTATGCATACAGCAGGAGTTCACCATCGATCGCCCAGGCCGACTGGATTTCTCCGCTGTTCCCAGATGAATCTGTGGGGGGACCTGAACATCTGGGGCTATTTCCCTCCCTGAGGAATTCTTGCTAGCTCCCACCACTCCGGGCTGCAGAAGAGGCTGCTCTATCCAGAGAAAGAATAAGCAGAGTCACCTCGGAGGATCAGGGGACTCTCCCAAATCTTTTCCCATTTCATGGGGATGGGGTTGCGGTGTAAGATAAGGCGCCTGAGTCACCCACTCTCCTCCCTTCCAGCTACATCTCCAGAGCTGGCCAACAGTTTCCCTGGCAACCCTCCAAGGGCCAGCACCAAAGCAAGACATGAAAGCTCCAGAAACCCAGCTGCAAGGGGCAAAAGAGGGAGAAGGCCCTTTCCCAGCCCCACACATAAACACAGAGCGCTCCCCTTCCCTACAGTCTCCTATAGGTTGTCCAGGTGAAATTTTTCATGTCCAAAGATGACTGAGAGCTGCCAAGTTCTCCCATAAGCCACCTTTGGCAGCTTTTTCCAAGAGCCTTCCCTTCATGTGCAGAATAACACCAGCCACAAAGGTCTTTGTGTCTGTTGCTGATCACAAAGCCCTTCTCCCCCACCCAGGCTGCTGCTCCTGTCCCACACTCTGGGCCAACATCTGGCATAGTGCTCCGCATGGAGAAGGTGCAGAGAGCTTGGAGGTGGGAGCAGGAAGCAGGAAGCTGGACAGATGCATCAGCCCTGAGCTCTCTGGCCACCCTTCTGACAGTCACAGCTCAAGATGTTTTGACACTTGGGTGCACCACATTTCTCTCTCTTGTAAGCTTTCATACCTGCACACATGCTGTTCCCTCTGTCGGGAATGTCCTGCTTTCTTGCTGCCTGCCCTTTCATGACTCTTGCTCCAGGCAGCACAACCTTGCCCTCTTGATTTTTCACTCTGTGCTCTTCTTGTGTCTATTACAGCACCTCTCCTGTCAAAGGAAGGACGAGTTCTTATTTGCACTTGTCTCTGTCTCCAAGGGCAGACACTATATCCCACTCGCCTTTAAATCCTCCCTTTTGTGCCTAGCCCAGAGCAGATGCCTAATAATATTCATGGAACAAACCCTATGCTCTAGGAATAGAAATTAAACTACAAGGACTATGTAGTCATTAAGAGTACAGGGTCTAGGCCGGGCACAGTGGCTCATGCCTGTAATCCTAGCACTCTGGGAGGCCAAGATGGGTGGATTGTTCCAACTTAAAAAAGTTTGAGACCAGGGGATGCCCATATCTCAGTGGTTAGAGTGCTGGCCACATGCGCCAGGGCTGGTGGGTTAAAACCAGGCCAGGCCTGCTAAGAAACAAACAAAAAAATAGGCAGGCGTTGTGGCAGTCACCTGTAGTCCCAACTACTAGGGAGGCTGAGGCAAGAGAATAACTTGAGCCCAAGAGTTGGAGGTTGCTGTGAGCTATGACGCCAAGCACTCTACAGAGGGCGACAAAGTGAGACTCTGTCCCAATAAAAATTAAAAAAAGAGTTTGAGACCAGCCTGAGCAAGAGCAAGACCCCATCTCTAAAATTAGCTGGGCGTGTGGCAGCGCCTGTAGTCCCTGCTACTCAGGAGGTTGAGGCAAGAGGATCACTTGTGCCCCAGAGTTTGAGGTTGCTGTGAGCTATGATGCCATGACATTCTACCAAGGGTGACAAAGTAAGACTCTGTCTCAAAAAAAAAAAAGAGTACAGGATGTAAAACCAGGCTCTTTTGATGCCTGTGACCTGTGACCTTGAAGTTTTCTGCCTTTATCTCCTCTTTTGTACTATGGTGATAGTAATAGTACCTTCCTCATCATATCATGAAAATTCAGTAAGTTAATACATGTAATGTGCCTATGAAGTACTGTAGAGCTGTTAACTATCATCGTTGTTTGTAGTTAGTAACCACTTTCTAAGACTAGCCAATTTCTAGGACTCAATCCAGCTGCCAGAGCCACTAGGTTAAGTGCCTCACTGGGCAGGTGTGTACATCTCTATGTTTCTGCATCTCACAGCACATCCCTGCTGATCACTAGGCATCAAGATAGACCTGGCTGGCTGTGTGCACAGACATAGAAGGTAGAATATTCTGGATGACTACCTCAGCAAAACAGAATGTTGTCATCCTGGGACAGGAAGGAAGGCCCACTGCTGACCTCTCTCTCTGCTTGACAATCCAGTTAAGGTGAGACCCTCTTCTTCTGGGCCTCAGGGATATATTCCCCTTAGGTGAGGGGAAATCAGACTGATAACATGACACTAAAGAAATGCTAGAGAGGCTCGGCGCCTGTGGCTCAAGCAGCTAAGGTGCCAGCCACATACACCTAAGGTGGTGGGTTCGAATCCCCAGCCTGGGCCCGCCAAACAACAATGATGGCTGCAACCAAAAAAAGGCTGGGCATTGTGGCAGGCCCTGTAGTCCCAGCTACTTGGGAGGCTGAGGCAGGAGACTCGCTTGAGCCCAGGAGTTGGAGGTCGCTGTGAGCTGTGATGCCATGGCACTCTACCCAGGGGGACAGCTTGAGGCTCTGTCTCAAAAAAAAAAAAAGAAATGCTAGAGAAAAAGAAACTGAACAAGAAGCTAGGATCTTTTTTTTTTTTTTTTTTTTTTGAGACAGAGCCTCAAGCTGTCCCCCTGGGCAGAGTGCCCTGGCATTACAGCTCACAGCAACCTCCAACTCCTGGGCTCAAGCGAGTCTCCTGCCTCTGCCTCCCAAGTAGCTGGGACCACAGGTGCCCGCCACAATGCCCGGCTTTTGTTTTTTTTTTTTTGGTTGCAGCCGTCATTGTTGTTTGGTGGGTCTGGGCTGGGGATTCGAACCCGCCACCCTAGGTGTACGTGGCTGGCGCCTTAGCCGGCTGAGCTATAGGCGCCGAGCCAAGAAGCTAGTATCTTGAGAGACCCCACAGAGAACTCAGAGAGAGATTCAAATGCAGAGATATCCCCTAGAAGGTCTCATCTTTTATTCCACCCTGGCCTGACCCAGGGAGAGAAACAGGCTTGAAAGATGAGCCTAGAAATCTAGTCCACAGCCCTTGTCCATACGCACCCCTGCTCCCAGCCAGGGGTGGCAACAGTCCCCTCCCCTCTCTCATGGATGAACATGTGGTTCTCACAAAGAGTAGCTCCCCCATGTCACATCGTCCCTCACTCCTGCCCCACCACAGGAATATCATGAGGCCATTTTCTGGGAACATAATTGAAACCACAACCATAATCCCCTCTAGCCAGAGACCAGAGATCCCCACTAATGTGGCATCCCTCTCCAGACCTCTCTGGATCTCAGGAGTCAGGCTGGCCCCAGGGAACGACCAGCCACATGTTAGCCAAGGCACATATGAGGGTGAGTCCTTCCATATGGGGATAAGACAGTGCAGGCCCCTGGAGCCAAAGGGAGGAGGCAGGGGACACTCAACAGAGAGGAAAGCAGAGACCTCAGTTCTCCAGAGCCTCAGAATGGAGCTTTGTCACAGCTAGTGGTTTGGGAGGGCCTCTGTTATACCAGGCTTACTTCTGCCAGAGAATGGGTGTTGCGAGGAGCCAAGTTCTGGTTCCAGCCTCCAACTGTGCCAATTCACTAGCTATGCAACCTTGGTCAAAGTGCTTAATATCTCTCAGGGCCTGAGTTTCCCCTCATGTGCAAGTCATAGTTAGGAGGTAAAATATATATTTATAAATGTATAGATTCTTTCTGGGAGGGCACACAAGGCCCTAGTAATTAAAGTTGTCCCTCCAGAAAGGATCTGGCAGAAAAGAATGGGGAAAGACTAACTTTTCACCGTGTATCCTTTTGAGCCTTGTGTATTTTGTACCATATGCACGTACCACTTATTAAAACATTACTACAATGGGCCAGGTGTGGTGGCTCATGCTTATAATCCCAGTACTCTGGGAGGCTAAGGTGGGAGGATTCCTTCGAGACCAGCCTGACCAGAAGCAAGACCTTGTCTCTACTAAAGATAGAAAAATTAGCTGGGCATTGTGGTGGTCAGGAGGCTGAGGCAGGAGGATTGCTCGAACCTTAGGAGTTTGAGGTTGCTGTGCAATAGGCTAACACCAACAGCCTAGGGCAACAGAATGAAGCTCTGTCTCAAGGAAAAAAATTACTAAAATGGTCATTTTTTAGGACAGAAAAAGTAGAGAGAGTATGAAAGCAACTAAGGACCACAGCTGGCTTGTAGCAGGCCCTCGATAAAGCAGCATTTTCTCTCTTTCTTTCCCTCAGCCCAGTTTGCTGGGCCTGGAGGAACCTCAGAGGGAGGGGTGGGGACGTGAGTGATGGATGAGCAGGTCCTTGCAGGACTCATGATCTGGAGTTTCTCACATGCTCCATTCTCAATCTTGCTCCTGCGTGCCTCACCTATCTAGGCTCCCTTCCCACAAGAGCTAAAGGGTTGGCTCTCTAGAAAGCCTGAAAATCCCCCTCAACCCCGCCTCCTAGGTCACTGTGTCCTCTCCACCCAGAGTCCTGGGGCGATGCACCATCATCCAGGGAAGGCAGGGCTGGTACAGAGGAGAGAACAGAGTACCACTCCAGCCAGTGGCTTGCTGGCTTTCCAGGCAGGTTAAGAACAAAAGTCAGCTCAGTGCCAGGAAAAGATGAGGTTGCCCTGGGGGGAGAAACAGGTCAGTAGGACCAGAGCAGGCAGAGGCTAAAGCAGCAGCAGGGAGAGCCTTCTGGGTGCTGTGGCTTGTGCTGAGTGAATAGAAGTCTGCCCTGAACTGTCAAGAGTTCTGAGAAGTCCTGTGCTGTTTTAGGGACCTTCATTAAATCCAAAAATATTTATGAAGCTCTATTACAAACAAGCAATAAGGCACTGCTCTTTAGGCATCTAATTAGAGCCACAAGGAGGCTAAGAGAATGCTTAGCTCTACTTGCCAATGTCCCTGAGCACCTACTATGTGCCAGACACCGTGACTAAGTTGTACCAGCAATCCTGGCAGTATCTTCCTTTTATAAATGAGGATGCTTATCTCAGAGAAGCAGACTCACTTGCCCAAGATCACACAGCACAGCCAGAGTTTGCATCAGGTCCTAATGACTCCAAAGCCTTTGTGTTTTCCTCTAAGCCACATTGACCCTATGAAAGGCAAGGAAGATTTTGCCAGGTGACTGAAGGCGGAGTGACCTTCCAGGTTGGTGGAATGGAGGGGGTAAAGGCTTGGAGTTGAGAGGCCAGTGTGAGGCAGAAGTGCATTGCACAGAGTGAAGGGGAAGGCCTATGCTTGGGGCTTCTCTCCGTGGAAAATGAAGACCAGGCTGGAGCCAGGGAGGAGGGCATGAGCACTGGTCCAGTCTTCATTTTGACTCATATCCTCCTGGGGTTGGGGAGCCCTTTTTTGAGGCTTGGAGCAGGGAAGATGTGGGTGGGTCTGAGACTTAAGAAACCAGGGAATGATGAAAAACAGAGATGTGAGCAAAGAACCGCCTCCAGTTCAAAGGCAAGTGGCAGAGTGCTGGAGGACGGCAGGGAAGATGGACAGCCCTCTCCCACACAACTCCCAGAGGGCTTGAGGTTGGTACTGGGCTAGCCAAGACACAAAAGATTTCTTGTTGGGTTGAAGAAGGAGAAACTAGCTTAGCAAGAAGACGGGCCTGACAGTCATCGTGGAAGAGGGTGAGTGTCTTGGCCCAGGGCTACTCAGAATAGTGGCCAGTCCCATGTGGCTGCCCAGTTCTTCTTGCCCACCCTCCTCTCTCTTCTCTGGCTCCTGGGCCTGCCTTTGCTATGAGAGCAACTGCAAAGAATGGGCCCCTTCTGCTCACCTGACTCGCCAGGCAATCCCCCCTCCCCCTGCACTGACCCTGCACCCTCCTCTCTTTGTTCAGAGAGAACCCCACTTGAAACCCTTTCCTCCAAGGCAGGTAGGCAGAGGAGGCAGGATTTGCCCTCCCACCCACCCTGTCCAGTCCCACACCCCTCCCCTCACACTATTCCCAGAAACAGAGGACAGTCACTATGCCTCAGGCAGGATGGCCTTGTGTTCTCTTGGTGACTTCACTGTAAATTGACTTCCCTGAAGAGTGGTAGAGGACAGGGGACAGAGGTAGGGACAGGCTTCACCTCGATCCAGCAGCTCCTTCTCCTCCCCCAAATTCACACAGAATTCCTGACCACAAACACACACACCCTGCGTAGGTCCTGTTCTGTCTTCACAGACAAGAATAGGGACATTTCTTCTACAGGGAGGTGGCAGGGTCTAGTCTCAGAAGTGGTGTGTACACAGAGTGTGGACCTGTGGCCCCACTTCTAACCTTGAGGGGGTGGGGGCTGGATGGAGGTGGACACCCAAGAAAAGGCAAAGTGGGGGTGAAGCAGGATGTTTAAAAGCCCCAGGGCTTCAGCTTTCCCCTCTCTGCCCCAGGCGAAGAGATACTTCCTGGAAAGCCTCCAGCTTTCTTAGGAAGGGCCTTCACCCCCACCCCACCTCCCCTCTGGCTCCCATGCAACAGGAACTCTCCCTGAAGAAGGGACTTGGAGCAGAGGAAACAAAGGCATCTCTGTATCACCACCCTCCTCCCCTGGGAAGGTCAGGTCAAGGTGACCTCTACTTGTTCTTCCCAAGGGAGGAGCATATGCAGACTTGGTCTCTAGGAGCAGAGCAGAAAGGAGATTTGGAATAATTCTTCTCTCCATCCATAAACTCAAACCCACCTTCACGTAGGTCACACTGCCTCATTCAGGAGAGCAGGAGCATAGGCTGGCATGAGGATGGAGGTGCCATGCTCCACACCATAGAACAGTTGTGGGCTAGCCCAGCCAAAGGAGGCCTCTGTGGGTTTGTGCTAGCATTGGGGAAGCTTAGAAAGGCTATACTGAGACTCTGGCCAGGGCCAGGGCAACTTGAATCCTGATGCCACCTATGCACCTACTGGCCAGACACTTTAGTCAGGTCTCTTTCCTGCACTACCCCAAAGGGCTGATTCTGGCCCTGACTATCTTCAAGGTTGTTGCAAGGATCAGCTGAGTAGAAGAGTACAACGATGTTTGCATACAAATATGCCTCACTTCAGTTCAGGATGTGTATACGGTGTGCTAACTGCAGACTAGGCTGTAGCTTATTATTATTCCTAATAAAATATGGTCAGTCATCTTTTGTGGAATATATTCCTGTTAAGTACTTTTTTTTAAATCCTTTCTCATTCCCCATCATAATGCTGTGACTTGGAATTGAGGGTGAAGGGGAATTAGGGTGAAGAGGCCAGCCTTGGACCCCAGCTCAGTCAAGCCCTAGGTGATTTTTGATCTTCCTACACCCCATCCCCTAGGCGTCAGTATTCTCCTCTATCACCTGGTCCCCCAAAACCACCAAGGTGTTTTGTGGTGGGAAATAGCAGAGACCAAACCAGGGGACGGAAAGCAAAGAAACCCCAAATTTGACATTTCCGGGTAGTTGTGTTATCCGGAGCCATGACCACAGTCACCTCTGCCCCCAACCCAACTCTGACAGCTGTCCCTCCTCCAATCCCTTGGGCGCCCTTTGCCCATCCTGGGAAAGCGTCATGCCCCCCCCCCCCACCGCATCTCAAAGACAGAACAAGCACAAAGAAATGAAGAGAACCCAGAGACCCAGAGAGAAAGAGAAAATCAAAGTAAGAGGAGGAAACATGAATGAAAGACGGGGATTTAGGGCCACACAGATGGAGACAAAATGTGGACAGAGTCAGCAGTTGGCCAGGGTTGCAACCGCTGGATACAGGGTGGGGGTGGGGAGCACGGGAAGGTTCTGAAGACATTCACACACACCCTGTAAGGCCAACCCTTCTAGTTCTGTTCACCAGCTAGATTTTTAGGACCCCAAACTATCTATACCCTAGCCAAGCCAAACCTAGCCCAGCCAGATGTTGGTGGGTGGGGCTGCCCGCTGGAGCAGCAGGGCTCTGCAGGCCCCAGGGGAGGAGTCTGGAGAGGTGGCTGCCTGGAAGGGGCAGGCAGGGCCCCCACTGTTAAGCGGGCAACCCACACCACCCTCTCCCAGGTGCCCAGGTGCGAATGCATGGCCAAAGCAGTCCTCTGCCCTCCAGACCTGGCTGAGAGGACTTGGAAACACAAGGAATTTGCTCCCCTCAACTGACTTCCGCATCTGTCTGAAGGCTGGAGGGCATACGTACTAAGTGGGACCCATCTCTCATGTGGCAACGAGTTTGGATCCACCACTGACAAACTGTGTGACCTTGGCCAAGTCACTTCCCCTCCCTGGTCTTTTTTTTTTTTTTTTCCTGTTTGTAAAATTGTCTTCATGGTCATTCCAGCTCTGACACTTTTCAGTCCAGCTAACCTTAGCTCTATGTGTCTGACCCTCCTGGCCCCAATCCATTGCACAGAACAAGGAAGGGGAGGGAGAGAGGCTCTGCTTCCCTGTAGAGTGTCTGAGAAGCAAGGCTTCTTTAATGCTTCATGCACCCTCTTACAATTTTTAATTTCTTTCCTTCGATCCTGCCAGTTAACATACCATGACACATGGAAGGCAGGCAGAACCCAGGCAATCCAGCAACCGTAGCTTTAAACTTCATTTATTCTGAAGTAAAAAGAATGAAACTCTCTGAGAGGCCTAGGTGAGTGGATTGCCTGAGCTCATGGGTTCCAGACCAGCCTGAGCAAGAGGGAGACCCCATCTCTAAAAATAGGCGGGTGTTTTGACAGGCGCCTGTAGTTCTAAATACTCAGGAGGCTGAGGCAATAGAATTGTTTGAGAACAAGACTTTGAGGTTGCTGCGAGCTATGACACATGGCACTCTACCGAGGGTGAAAAAGTGAGACTCTGTCCAAAAAAAAAAAAAAAAAAGAATGAAACTGGGGAGGTAGTGAGGGGCAAGAAGGGAGAGTAGGCTTCAGGAATGGAGAGAAAAGGGCAGATCCAAGAAGGAATTGGGAAGGGAGGGAGGCAGGCAGAGAAGAATGATTCCCCCCAGGACATGCAGTTTTGGCCCAGATGGGCTGTGAGTGGGCAGCAGGGCTGGCCCGTCCTCTGGGACTGCCAATACCAGCTGCCAGGCAAAGGGGAGGCCCAGAGGAGAGGGACGCTGGGCAAAGGGAATGGAAGGCTGCCATGTCAGCCTTACCCAACCTCTTGGGCTTTGTTGGAGGGATCTTGAGGAGGGGACTGTAACCCAGGCAAGGCTCTAGGAGGGATGATCACCGCTGGGGCAAGGCCTATAGGCAGTTGTGAGGTTGGGACTATTGAAGACAGCCCCTCCCTAGTCTTTCTGAAGGTAGAACGAGCCTGGGATGCCACTGGGCTGGGGGTGCTGGACAGTTTATGGGTCATAGTGTGTTGGCTAGGCTATGTGCCTACTGTGCAGCACTGGGCAAGCCCTTTCCTCTCTCTAGACTTCCATTCCTTACCTGCAAAATTGTGGAGGGGGGTGAGAGGGTTGAAATGTGACTGCCAGATGATTTTAGATGGTGGCAGGAATGGAAGGAGACGGGTGGGTGGGAGTGGGAGTGAGCTTGGCTTTTCTGAAATTCCCCAGTCCTTCCACTCCCAAAGGGTTTGCCTCTGAGGTCACAAAAGCTGTGCCTCCTCCCCACAACCCACATAAACACACACACAGTTACTTTTTAATTCTGGGGACTCAAAAGATGACACATGCCAGAGGTGGAAGGTGTCTCTGCTAGTAGTCCACCCTTCCCTCCTCCCTTTTAACAGATGGGAAAACTAAGGCCCCGGTTTGGGATTTCCCGGCCCTCCCACTCTGTCCCCCGGCTACTCGTGAGCCTCTCAGCCACCGCAGTCCTGGGACGCTCCCGCGGAGCCACAGGCGAGAGCCGGCTGGGACTCCCGGGGGGACCCCGCCGTCGGGGCAGCCCCTTGGCTGCCATCGCCCCGCCTCTCCGCCCGCCCTGCCCGGCTGCCGCTGCTGCGCACTTGCCGTGGAGCCAGCGACCCAGGGCGGAGGCGGGGAGAGAGCGACCGAGGCTGGGAGGGGTGTTGGCGAGGGCTCGCGCGCTGTGTATGGTCTATCTGAGGCAGCTGACCTTTGAGGAGGAAATCGCTGCTCTCTGCTCCTTCCTGTAGTAACAGCCGCCGCCGCCGCCGCCGCCAGGAGACCCGACTGGGAGCGAGAGCCGCGGGGTACAGCCAGCCCGGCTGTCGGACGGCTCGGCCCCACCAGGTGGGTGGCGCCGCGGCGCGTCCCGGGCGGCGCGCAGAGAGGGGGCATTGACCCACGCCCCTCTCCCGCGTGCTGGACCCCTGACATCCCTGGACTCGGAGCCCGACGGCCGGGCGTAGTGCAGGGATCGGTTCCGGCGCCGAGAGGGAGTTTTCGGTGTAGCGCAGGCGAGGGACCAGGGACGAGGGATGAGGGACGGGGATGAAGGCAGGCAACCGAGAGTGGGTGCCGTCCTGGCGCGCAGTGGAGAGAGGGCGCTGTCGTACTGGACCCAGGGGGAGACGCTAGAGCACAGATGGGGGGGCGAGCCGCAGGGGATAGCGTCGCTCTTTCCATCCCTCTTTCCTGAACAGCCCCAAGCACGTGTCCTAGAGGGCCAAGCCGTCGAGTGGGTACCATCGCGGGGTTGCCCTAACTTTGTAATGTAATATCTCCTCTTCCCAGAATGTGTGACTCTGGGTATCCTGGGCAGGGTGGGGGGATTCTTGCGGCCTCCACTACCAGTTTCTCTTTCGTTTTCTAGCCTCCTCCCCACCCTCCCCGGGAAGCCCCGTGGGGTGAGGAGAGAGGAAGACAGGGAGGGCACCTACCTCTTGAGAGCCCCCACCCCACCCCGCCGCAGCTTCAGCGGGTTCCTTGTTGAAGGGCATGGGCGGCCTTCCCTTCCTCACCATCTTTTCTCCCGCACAGGAAAGCGTGTCCGTGGGAGGGAAGGGGCTTGTTCTGACCATGGTCCAGGGATGGGCAAGCGTGGCAGGGCGTCTGCCTAGGAGGCGCCTCTGCAGCTGTCTGCTCGCCCTAGGTGAACGGCCATGGCGGGCTGGATTCAGGCCCAACAGCTGCAGGGAGATGCCCTGCGCCAGATGCAGGTGCTGTATGGGCAGCACTTCCCCATTGAGGTCCGGCACTACTTGGCACAGTGGATTGAGAGCCAGCCATGGTAAACGTCCGCCACCCCATCCCCGCGCCCACCCTGCGCCCTCCTCTGTGGGTCCCTCTGCAGGCCCCTCTGCCTCTAGTTCTACTCACTGCGGTTTGGGGTGACTCTGGTCCCATCCACAGATAGGGGAAGGGGCGGTGTCCCTTGGAAAGGGGAAGAGGGAAATGGGAGCCTGGGAGGACAGAGAGGATGTTTCTAGACTTTGATGCCTGTGGAGTTGCCAGGAACAAGTCTTGTGGGCCTTGGAGTGCCCTCAGTCACAAGCCTGGGATTTCCACTTCACTCTTGCTGCCTGATCTTAACCAAGGAGGTGCCACAACAGATTTCTCTCTCCTGCCCTGCCCCAAGGGATGCGATTGACCTGGATAATCCCCAGGACCGTGCCCAGGCTGCTCAGCTCCTGGAGGGCTTGGTGCAGGAGCTGCAGAAGAAGGCAGAGCACCAGGTGGGGGAAGATGGGTTTTTACTGAAGATCAAGCTGGGGCACTACGCAAAGCAGCTCCAGGTGGGTGTGGACTTGGGGCCATCTGCAGGGAGGCAGCCTTTACCCTTCTCCTTCTAGCATCAGAGCCCCTGGGTTTTTTCCTGGCCTGGGCACTGACTCACTATGTGACCATGGCAACTTTTCTTCAATTTCCCCCACCCCCTCTTTCTAAATCAGACCTGTCAGATTCCTTTAGCATATCACAAAGCGAGGGTGGGTGGTGTTTGTTCCTAGTAGAAGGAGGATGGGTGAACTGGCATTAGGGACAGATGAGGCAGAAAGGATGGAGGTAGACTGAGGCAGGAGTCCTTTGTTGGAAAAAGGAAGACCAACAGATTCTAGAAATGAGGGAATGAGACAACCAGACCTCCCTCTTGGGTTCTTTTAAAGATAGGAGGAGAGCAGGCTACCTTGGAGGCAAGAGCTAGATATGAGGGCTTGAATTAAGGTTTTAGAAATAAGATGTATTTTCTCCTTTACATGAGGGGATGGGGGGCATGGAGAAAGAGAGGGAGTCTTTGTGGAAACAGGGAAGGAGTGTGGGTGGTAATCAAAGTCAAGGATTTATTGGAACTCACTTGTATTTCTTAGAGAGTCCTTCTTAGATAGAAACACCAGAAATAAATGTTAGGGAAATAAATGTCCACTTCATAAGTGGGAGGAAATAGGGGAAATCTGAGGGGAAGCCAAATAGGAGCCCAGGGTCAGGAGTATGATAGGCAGTACCTTGACCTTGGCCTCAGATGCGCTGAGTCTAAAATCACCTGCTCACCTGCTCACTTACTTGGTAGCTTCTGGACAAATACTTGACTTCTCTGAGAATCAATTTGCTTATCTGTGAACCAAGGATTATAGTTTCTGCATATGGCATAGGGTTTCCATGCTGTGAGAGTCAAAGGAGATGATAGATTGGAAGTGCTTTGTAAAATTCTGCTTTCTGATTCTCTACAAACCAAATGTGAAGATTTGGGAGGGGAAGTGGAAGAAAGAAGACATGGAGGTGTTTGGGGTTAGTTCCTGAGGCTCCCTGGGAAAAACTGAGGCAGAGGCTGAGGGAGAGGAAGGGGTGGGCATGACATGGGGATGGGCACGGCTGGGGCAGACCACTGAGAGTTGCTGTTGGGCTCTTTCAGGATACATATGACCGCTGCCCCATGGAGCTGGTCCGCTGCATCCGGCACATTCTGTACAATGAACAGAGGCTGGTCCGGGAAGCCAACAATGTGAGTGTCCTGCGGGTATGGGGAGAGGAGCTGGGAGGTCATTCCATTTGCCTTTCTCTCCAGATGCAACTGTGTTTACATAAAATACTGTCATAAGGAAAGCACCAAAGAAATAAAAGTCATGAGCAAGTATCAGAGGCAGCATCCCCTGCTGGTGTGGAGTAACCCCCGGGTCCAGTCCCGCTTACCAGCTGTGTGACTGGAACAAGTTACTTAAGCTCTCTGAGCTCCTGTTTCTTCTGTTGTAAAGTGGAGATAGTAATAGTGCCTACCTTATGGGATTATTATGAGGTTTAAATGAGATAGTACATGCACCAAGTATAGACAGACTGATCACTGGAATAGGAAAGGAGGCCCTATGTACATGCACACCCACACACCTGGAAACTTGAAACGCAGACGACATTACCAATCACCAAGGGAAAAGACCTGACATTCAATAAATGGGGCTGAGGCCAAAATAAGAAAGTCTCCCTGGTAGTGTCTATGAGGAGAAACAGCTGAGGAACTGAGAGAGGCAGACTTAGAGAGGCGAGGCCCAAGGAGCAGGAACAGGACTCATCTTTCAAGTTCTGAAGTCAGGAAGATGTTGAACAGCTGCACGGGCCATGTTGCATGTGCTGTCATCTACAGTGAAGCAAAATGAAGTTCACAAAGTGATGTGACAGTTCAAAGTCTTAGAATAGTTCCCAGAGCACTCTTTTTGATCATTTATTATTATCGTTATGGACACTGATTTCAGGAACTTGACTGTTCACTCAGTAAACATTTGTTGAGGTCCTACTGTGTGTCTGATGCAGGGCTAGGACTAAAGAGACACATAAAGGCTTGGTCGCTGCCTAGAGGAGTTCTGGCAATGACAGAGTCTTTGGACATGAGCAGTGCTAAGGCGGCATATATGGGAAAAGTTCCTAACTCACATTGGGGCCTGCTGGCAGGGAAGTGTCCTGAGGACAGGGAAAGAACTACAGTAGGGAAACAGGGAGGGAAGGAAGGAAGTGGTATAACAGGTGGGGTGTGCCTACACCTGTAGTCCCAGCAACTCAGGAGGCTGAGGCGGAAGGATCCCTTGAGCCCTAGGAATTCAAGTCCAGCCTGGGCAATCTAATGAGACCTTGTCTCGTAAAAAAAAATAATAATAATAAAAACAACAGCATATTTAAGGGTGGGAAGGCATGAGCCATCTTATTACATTTGAAGTTTTGTAAGTAGTAAGAGCAACTGGGGAATATCTTGGTTGGGGGGACCATTCCTTCTCCCAGCCAGAAAGCTATTCTTGAACCCTCTGATGTGCTAGACCTTGGGGATATTGTGGTGCATGGGACAGACAAGTCTGAGCCCTTGAGGGCCTCACAGCCTTGTGCAGGGAGCAGACCAGAACAGCAGACCAGAAACAGAAGTACAAGATACTTTCAGGTCAGAGTAGTACTACTGTGAACTGGCCCATCCAGACAGCCCCTTTGGAAAGGTACTAGTTCAAGTGCTTGCCTCAGGAGGATTTGGTGCCAGAATGTTCCAGACTGATGGAACAAGCTCAAAGCCCTGAGGCAGGAACATGTGTGTGTGTTCAAGGAATAAAGACAGAAAGCACACATAGCTGCCACGCTCGGGCAGCAGGGACACTGCGGTGGAGGCAGGTGAGGGCTACCGGCCAGGCCAGTGGAGACTGGGGGAAGGAGTTTGGATTTTATTCTGTGAACACTTCATTGGAAAGTCCCCTCTCAGCCAGGTGGTGAAGGGATGGCTGGATCTAAGGAGACCTTGTTGATCCTTCCCTTGTAACTTCCTTTTTGGGTCTCCAGGGTACCTGCAAGGGGTTCTTCCTCTTCCCACTTCTTCAGTTATACGAAGGTTTTGAGTGAGGATGCAGGTGACATGTGTTCATGCAGTCCTGTTCCCCTCCATGTCCCAGGAACCTACCACAGTCATGGCCCTGGGTCAGTAAATGAATGTGGAATGAGGGGTCATCATCATTAGTAGGGAAACCCATGTGGCACCTGGGACATGTCGAGGGCTGGTTGCTCTGTGGGAAATTGGAGAGACCCTGTTTGGAATACTCCAGTGGAGGCCAGATCTGAAATAGAAGTTTGTACTGTGGAGGTGCCATTATCTTCAAGGTCATCTGTTTTTCCTCTCTCTTTCCTCTTTCTACCCCAATTTGGGCAAATTACTATTCTTCTGGCTCAGAAAAACCTCCCTTCTTCCCCTAGATTTGGAGTTTGGAGTCTATAGGCTCAGTGCTCCCCAAAGCCTGCATTTTTCTCCCATCCTCTCTGTCTGACGCTGCCCCGTGTTACCTCCACTCTGTCTCCAGTGCAGCTCTCCTGCTGGGGTACTGGCTGACGCCATGTCCCAGAAACACCTTCAGATCAACCAGACATTTGAGGAGCTGCGACTGGTCACTCAGGACACCGAGAACGAGCTGAAGAAGCTGCAGCAGACTCAGGAGTATTTCATCATCCAGTACCAGGAGAGCCTCAGGATCCAGGGTGAGGTGGGGTAGAGGGTACCATGTGTGGCCTGGGTGGGATCAAGGAACATTCTGTGAGCTCCTGCAGAGTAGGGGCTGGGTCACTGTCCACCTTCTCGGTGATTGAGCCCCTGCCATAGGTCAGGCTCTGAGCTAAACCCTTTGTGCACATTATTTAATGTAACCTTCACAACCATTGTATGAAGAGGACAGTTGCGTTACCCCTATTTTGCAGATGGTAACACTGAGGTTCAATGAGACCAAATAACTCTGCCTGGGTTACCTATAAGTTGCAGAACTGGACCAAACTAGAAATATGTCATAAAATCTATGTACTATACTAACTAATATTCTCTCCTTAATTGTAGTATTTTGTGAATATCTGAGCACATGTATAAATATGGGTAGAGTGTTTTCTAGTTTGAAGGAGGACTTGGGCTGGGTATCTGAAGTGGAACTCCTGGAGTGCACCTTCTTGAACCTCACAGATAGGATGTGGAATTAGGGGAGAGGGTGACAGTGGAAAATTCTCCTATGTCCTAAGTCTGTAGTCTGCCAGTGGTTGCAAGGCTGATAAGGCTGCGGGGAAAGAAAAAATTAACTTAGAAGGAATTAACCCCAGGTTCAATTTGAAGAGGCTTGAGACATGCCCTATCTCCTTCCCATTCCGGACTGACCCCAGAGATATATTACCTCATTCTAGTGAGAACAAGAAGTGTCAACCTGCCTTTACCTTTGATTTATTTATATATTTATTTTTTGAGACAAAGTCTTGCTCTGTTGCACCAGGCTAGAATGCTATGGCATCAACCTAGCTCCCAGCAACCTCCCTGGGCTCAAGTGATCCTCCTACCTCAGCCTTCTGAGTAGCTGGGACTACAGATGCCTGCCACCACACTGGCTAATTTTTCTATGTTTGTAGAAATTACTATTCACGTTGAAGTATTTTCTAATTGCTCTTGTGATTGTGTTACCCATATGTTATTTAGAAATCTGGTGTTTAGTTTCGGTTTTATTTTTTTAGATGGCATATTGTTAGTGATCAGAATATTGTTATTGATCTTAACATTGTCTTATTATTGAATCCCACTGTGATCAGAGAAAATACTCTGTGTGATCTCAGTTCTTTTTTTTTTTTTTTTTTTCGAGACAGAGCCTCAAGCTATCCCCCTGGGTAGAGTGCTATGGCATCACAACTCACAGCAACCTTAAACTCCTGGGCTCAAGCGAGTCTCCTGTCTCAGCCTCCCAAGTAGCTGGGACTACAGGCGCCCGCCACAATGCCAGGCTATTTTTTGGTTGTAGCCATCATTGTTGTTTTTTGGCGGGCCCGGGCTGGATTTGAACCCACCACCTCAGGTGTATGTGGCTGGCGCCTTAGCCACTTGAGCCACAGGCGCCGAGCCTGTGATCTCAGTTCTTATAAATTTATTGACACTTGTTTTGTGGCCCAGCAAATGATCTATCTTAGTAAAAACATATACTCGAAAAGAATGTATTATGTTCTATAGTAGTCATTTCATTAAAAATATCAATAATAAATCCAATAACGTTAACATAAAAGGTCAATTTTACAAAAAAACACAGAAACATAACATCTATTTATCTGTTTCAGGCTACTTTCCAAAAGAAAACTTCGAGAGTAGACAGGCATTGCTTTACATATTTGCATATCTCTTTAACGTTAGGCTAAACAGAGACAGCTGGATCTTGCATTCAATGTATTGTAATATCACACGTCTTGTAGCATCTGGAAAACTCCATTGGATACTTAAGTGATAGTAAGAGTGAAAATGGTAAGGAAAGTCTTATGAAATTATGCAAATGGTTTTGGCTCTGTGGGACTCCTATAAGGGTATTAGGAACCCTGCAGGAATTCCTGGTGTATACATGTTCTTTGAAAACCACTGATCTATGTCTTTATTGATTTTTTTTTTTTTTTCACACAGAGTCTCACTGTGTCACCCTGGGTAGAATGTCATGGCATCATAACTCACATCAACCTCAAACTCTTGGGCTCAAACAGTCCTCTTGCCTCAGCCTCCTGAGTAGATGGTACTACAGGCGCCTGCCACAACTCCCAGATACTTTTTTTATTTTTAGTAGAGATGAGGTCTTGCTCTTGCTCATGCTGGTTTCAAACTCCTGAGCTCAAGCAGTCCTCCCACCTCTGTCTCCTAGAGTGAAAGGATTAAAGGCATGAGCCAGTACACCTGGCCTGTTGATTTTTTTCTAATTGCTTTATCAGTTGCTGAAAGAACGGTATCAAAATCACCTATTATTGTGAAATTATCAACTTCAGTTCTATAATTATTTTCTTTATATATTTTGAAGCTTTGCTATTAGATGTATCCATATTTATAATTATTATGACTGTCTTTTCAACTGACATTATAATCAGATGAAATGTCTTTCTTTCTTTTTTTTTTTTTTTGAGACAGAGTCTCACTACATCACCCTCAGTAGAGTGCTGTGGGATCACAGTTCATAGCAACCTCAAACTCTTGAGCTTAAGCTATTCTTTTTCCTCAGCCTCCCAAGTAGCTGGAACTATAGGCGCCTGCCACAATGCCTGGCTATTTTTTGTTGTAGTTGTCATTGGTGTTTGAGCTGGCCTGGCTGGGTTCAAACCCACCAGCCTCAGTGTATGTGGCTGGTGCCCTACTTACTGAGCTATGGGTGCTGCCTAACTGTTATATTTAAGGTCTTTTCCTATGCTCTGTGACCAGCACATTCCTTAAACATCAGAGGTAGTGAGCAAATATTGGCAAGATTATCTAGCATGTCTTTTTCCCTTTCAAAATCACCCCAGGCTGAACTCAGAAAAAGGGCAGCCACTTCTGAGGTGGGAATGGGAGATTTCAGGCTGTTATTTCTACCAAGTCCTTTGAGTTTGGACGTATACATGAACCTGTACTTGGCTTTCTGTGTATGGGATTAAGTTTGGATTCTGGCTTGGGTTTGTACCCGTCATGCAGTGTCAGTTCAGCCTCGTGTATCAAGCTCACCATCAGGAACACAGACTGGGGATCTGCTTGTGCCAGGGAAGGCTCAGCTCCCTCCAGTGAAGCAGAACAGTTGTCCTGCATCTCCCTGGCCTCGTTCCCAGAAGCTTCTGCAGATTTCCAGGAGACACAAGGAGGGTCCCTTGCACAGGAGGCGGGCCCAGATGGTGGGATCACGACACCCTCCCTGTGGGTGGGCAGGGTCCCCCAGGTGGCCTTCCGGACCACTCAGATTCATTCTTCCTGCTCAGCACCCTGCAGTGAGATTGGAACCATCTTTCTGAGTTCCACTTTGGGGCTTTCCTGGCTGTCTTGAGTTACTTTTGTCTGTTCCAGCTTGTGCATTCCAAGGGGCAGGGAGGAGGTCAGTGTGACATGGCCCTCTGAGGCCAGCCAGGAACTTGACCCAGAACTGCCAATGTGCACATCTTCTCAGCTGCACCCAGGCAAGGATGCTGGGCTGTTCAAACAGGTTACTGGAAGGGAGCTGCAATCCCAGCATCTGGGAGAGTGGTTGTCTTTGTGAGGGAGGGATGGGTCTGCCAGCAAGGGAAGGTATACAGGTGGCAGTAACTGTGGAATGTTGGATTTCTTAGGATGGGTTCTTTGTTCTTGTTTTGACACAGTCTCATGCTGTCACCCTTGGGTAGAGTGCTGTGGTGTCATCATACCTCACAACCACCTCACTCTTTTTTTTTTTTTTTTGGCAGTTTTTGACTGGGGCTGGGCTTGAACCTGCCACCCCTGGTATATGGGGCCAGCACCCTACTCCATGAGTCACAGGCACTGCCTAACAACCGTAGTCTCTTGGGCTCAAGTGATCCTCCTGCCTCAGCCTCCTGAGTAGTAGCTGGGACTATAGGAGCCAGCCATGAAGCCCGGCTAGTTTTTCTATTTTCTGTAAAGGCAGGTCTCACTCTTGCTCAGGCTGGTCTCCAACTATGAGGTCAGGCAGTCCACCTGCCTCAGCCTCTCAGAGTGCTAGGATTACAGGTGTGAGCCACCGTGCCCCACCCTAGGCTGGGTTCTTGATATGCAGATGTTCCTTATATTACTCTTTGCACCTTTCACATGTCTTGAGGATTTCATGGTAGGTATTTTGAAGAAAGTATCAAAGTCCCCTTCCTAGCCATTGCTGAGATTCCTAACAGCTCCTGTGGGGAGAAGCTGCCATCTTTAACCCTTCCTTTCCTCAGAGAATGCTGCTGGTTCTGTGTCACCAAGGGGCCTGGATATTCTCCCTTACCCCCCTAACCTTTTTTTTTGAGACAAATTCTCTCTATGTTGCTTTCAGTAGAGTGCTGTGGCATCACAGCTCACAGCAACCTTGAACTCTTGGGCTTAAGCAATTCTCTTGCCTCAGGCTCCCAGTAGCTGGGACTACAGGCACCTGCCACAACACTTAGCTATTTTTTTTATTTTTCAGTTTTTTGGCTGAGGCTGGGTATGAACCCACCACCTCCGGCATATGGGGCTGGTGCCCTACTCCTTTGAGCCACAGGCTCCACCCTCGGCTATTTTTTTGTTGTAGTTGTCAATGTTGTTTGGCAGGTCCTGGGCCAGGTTTGAACCTACCACCTCTGGTGTATGTGGCTGGTGCCCTAGCATCTGAGCTACAGGTGCCGAGCCATCTACCCCTTTTCTGTCTGTCCATCTCTCTCTGAGATCATAGTGACCCAGCTGGACAAACTTGTCACCTTCTAGCACCTGGAGAAATTCCTTCCCTGAGGAGAGAGCCTGTGCTTAGGAGATGGGGCAGAGCCGCTGGGCCAGGGTCTCCCCAGTGACTACTGTGGTCAGAAGGGGCTGAGCAGCTGCTGGTGTCTGTCACCATTTATTCCTGTCCTGTCACCCATAACTAAGAAGGACTAATCTCACATAGAGAGAGCTTGTGCCTGCCAGGCTATTTCTTGAGCATCTTCCATTTTATCACTAATTTAATCTTCAAGCAACCACAGAGGCAGGTGACACATGTGGGGAAACTGAGGCATAGGAAAGTAAAGTGATTTGCCCAAGTTCACCCTGCTAGTGAAGGTCATGGACACACTTCCCATGCAGGCAGCCTGGCTTCAAGATGGGCCCTTGAAGCACCTGTGTGGGGCAGGTGGTAGGGGACAGGTAGGAGTCACCCTGAACTCCCCTTCACCCCTGTACAGGGGAAAGCTCAGAGTCAGCAGGCCGGTGAGCAGGGCCCAGGACTTCCCTCTGAGCCCATTCGCTTTTGCTTTGGCAGCCTATGTCAGGAACCCTTGGTGGTGTGAGCCGCCAAGGATCCTGCTTCAGCATAGGAGAGTCAGCTCCTCTAGTCTCCTGGGGACCCAGGAGGTGACAGCCATGGTGTCTTGTTCCCCCTCCAGCTCAGTTTGCCCAGCTGTCCCAGCTGAGCCCCCAGGAGCGTCTGAGCCGGGAGACGGCCCTGCAGCAGAAGCAGGTGTCCCTGGAAACCTGGCTGCAGCGCGAGGCCCAGACGCTGCAGCAGTACCGTGTGGTGAGTGGGTGCTGGGTCCCTACTCCCAGGCCCCGAGTGCCTGTCCTAAGTCTCTGGGGGCCCTACAGAAAGATAGAGTTAGTGTAAGAGCAAAACTAGGAGAGCAGGGACTCAGATCCTTCTTTCCTGGGGGGCATGTGAGGGGAACAGGTCGAGGGTGGGGAGAAGCCTGGGACCCAGGCACAGGCATTTCTGAGCCGGTCCCTGCAGCATTGTCTGTGGGAGCCCAGCAGGCCCTGCTGTCCCCACCTTTCTGCAGGAGCTGGCCGAGAAGCACCAGAAGACCCTGCAGCTGCTACGGAAGCAGCAGACCATCATTCTGGACGACGAGCTGATCCAGTGGAAGCGGCGGCAGCAGCTGGCTGGGAATGGCGGGCCCCCCGAGGGCAGCCTGGATGTGCTGCAGTCCTGGTAATGGGTGTAGAGGTGGCAGGGGCAGGCTGGCTGGGGTGGTGGCACCAGCTGCTTCTGCCTCCTGCACTGGGAGGTGCAGCCGGCTCCCTCTGCCTTGTGACAGCTCTTGTTTCACCAGTCAGCCTGGCTCTCAATCCAGACCTTATCTCCCATCAGTGCCACCTCCCTTAGGAGGGGAGTCACTGGCCTGGGGAACTGGACAGGACTCAGGTGTGCAGAGTGTCACTCAGGCTGTCTGGGCCTAAGTCAGGGTCACCCTCCTGTGTTATTTCTCTGCACTTCTGGAAGGCAGGGAGCTCTGCTCTGTGCCAGTGGGTGGGAGGCCTTGCTGGGTGAGGGGGGAGCTGTGTCATAGGGGTGCTCCCCAGCCCAGGAGCCTCCCAGGGGTCTGGAGGAGAAGCCATCATCTTCCCATTGTCCTGTTGCTCCCATGCAGGTGTGAGAAGTTGGCTGAGATCATCTGGCAGAACCGGCAGCAGATCCGCAGGGCTGAGCACCTCTGCCAGCAGCTGCCCATCCCCGGGCCAGTGGAGGAGATGCTGGCCGAAGTCAATGCCACCATCACAGACATCATCTCAGCCCTGGTGACCAGGTGACTACAGCCTCTTGGCCATAACCAGTGGGGTAGGGCCAGCTCCCATGGGGGTGATATGTGGGGGCAGAAGGGCCTTCCAGACCAGGAGCTCTGCTTCCTTCCTCGTCTCTCTTCCTGGCACCCCTTCCTGCTCTTTCTCCAGTTGCTGTGGCCCCTGGGCACCGCCCTTGCCCGGTTTCTATTGTGGACATGACAGGAGGTGCCCTCAGGCCCCGTAGCCCTTGCTGGCTGCTGAGTTCCTTTCCCTTCCCCTCCCCACCATCTCATGTCTCCCTGGGAGCAGTGCTGGG